GGGTTGGGGGGGGGGGGGGGAGGGGGGGGACACCAGAGAGACGAGAAGAGAGGGAGAGAGGCCTTTGCTTTTTGGTCGGGAATTAATTATCTTGGCAGCAAGTTTCTGCAGATGTGCACATATTTTGGATTGTCAAATAATTTGCTGCATGAGAGATTAGCATTTTAGTCGTGTGCATTTGGTGTAACTGCGATGTGATGTCTTCTCTCATATTCTTTAGTATATTTTTTTGGATTCGGGGCTAAACGTTCAAATACTGCATTGAAATACAAGTGGCCTGATTTATGAGGTTTTCGAGATATGAGCCATCAGTCAGACATTTTTTTTTGAGGGGGTTTGACTTGCAAGCACAAACTTCAAGCGCTGTGTGCTCGCAACTCCACAACAGGCGGAAGTTTGGCAGGTGGTGAAGGATTCTTCAAAAAAGATTCCTCAAGCTGTTTAATGCCATTCCCAGTTGATGTTTACGTGAAACTAAACATAAAAAGAATTACACATCGTGTATTTGAAAACAATCGAACAATTAAACTTTCAAGGCAACAGTGTTCTCAAATCATGGCCTCCGCTGTAACACTCACAATGGGTGTTCATTTTGCCTGGTCAAAATAAACCACGGTGAAAGGATATAGGATGCCATCATTAGGTAGCTCTAATTATCTTTGTTCCATCAAGCGAAACAGTCTGGTTCACTACACGACACCCTGATGTGTTTAGTGTTTCCACCACAGGTATCCAGATGGGATGCTGATAGCTGCATGCGCTCCTCAAATAAGAAGACATCACGGCACCAGGACATACACCAGTGATTTCAACAAAAAGGAAAAACGTGACATAATCTCATGCATTGTTTGACTAAACGTCTTTAAATTCCCTCCTACAGTTTCGAAAGATGATGTTGTTTCCATAGCGTTGCCAATTAGAACACGCAAGCCTGAGGACGAGGAAATAAAACAGGGCTTTATTCTTCAGACCACCAGTTCAGGGTGTCCCCATTTTCTGGTCAACTTATCCTCACAAGGGTCGCGGGGGTGCTCGATGCGCATTTTTGATGCGATCGATAACGACAGGGTGCAAAATTTGAATTTGCTGCGCAAACTGAATGGTGTTCACCCATTCCATTCCCATTGTAACACAAAAGTAACAATTCTTTGTCGACCAGTCAACAAGCATGTCTAGTCTGGCCCCACCCCGCACAATGCTTCAAATAATGATCTGTAGCTCTTAATAATTAGCACAATAATTACTGTATTTGTTTATTGGCTCCCAAGTTTGCTGCATGTGTCACGACTCACTTTGGATGCCACTCATTCTGACTGAGTGGTCACGTCCTTGTTTGTAAGTGATAGAATTGCAAACCCTCTGCTGCCTTTGGTCGAAATCAAACACAAGGATTGCAGGAGAGATGACTCTCACCAATCAGCTCCGCTGTTTGTAGCCGCGCTGCTTGAGGCCATTGAGGTGGCACTCTTGTAGCCACACAGCCCATCGTCCATTGTCCTTGAACGGCTTCCCCTTACTCCTCTCGAGATTTGTCGACCCTGTGAGTGGCAGCGCGTTTCTGTGCGCTGATTTGTCGAATGTGAAGGGGACATCACTGCCGTCAGCAATTCTGCTCCAACTGCACACAAATACAGGACCGTGGCATTTGCTGAATCCAAGGTGGCATATTTTCAATTAGAGCAGTTTTTCTTTTTTTTTTTTGTCATCCTCTCGAGTGGCCCAGCAAACTACAGCCAAAGGGGCCCCGGCAGTATAATGATGCCCTGGCACAATAGTACCACTGTTACCCAACCTGTTCCCAGGAAACGGCACAACTTGCGCCATTGTGCACTGTGCTTTCCTGCCCAACCACGTTGCCTGGGTTTAGCCAGAGACACGGAGAGGCCTGGCTGTGCAGTGAATCTCACAGCAACGCGGTTGGTAAGACAGCTATACAGGAATGATAGATGACGTCTAGGTGTATTCACCTCTCACTGCGCTTGATGTGCGAATATTACAAAAAGCTACATTAGAAGGGAAGGCTGTGGAGCGGAAGAACCCCGGGAGGGATGCGAAGACAGCTGAGTGGTTGCCAGGAATGGTGCTCCAGAAAACCCCTGCATTGTTGCTATGTTGACCGCTCCTCAATAAACAAGAGGACCAAGGGAGAAGTGTCAAGCAAAATGAAGAAAAAAAACCGACAGCTGAAACCGGTTGGTAGCTGGTCCGAGCTGGTTCCCCTCTTCATATGTGCACGATGTTTGTATGTGTGTGTGTGGCACCCAGCGTGCTCTCTCCTTTAGGGGTGCTTTTGCAGCGCAGCAAAAGGGAATATTCAGTGCCAGCTAGTTGGAGGGGGGGCTCTTTTGGTCTGCAGGAGAAATATGTCACGGGCGCCTTTCTGAGTCAGCCGGTCATTTAAGACAGGACCGCGCGACTCTCAGGAAATAGCCAAGTGTGTCACACTTAAATTCAAGTCCCTCCTACCGCTGGGCCTCCACCTGTCAGTTGATATGTCGATTATGATTGGAATTTGTGGGCTGTATGCTGCACGCTATATATTTTGGACAAATGCTGACTCATTCCAATTTCTCCTATTGTCATAGATAAACCGTCATTGTGAAAAAAAAAAAAAACACATTTATGGCCTATCAGAAATTTCACTCTGACTGAACAATGAATGAAATTCAAATAAACATCACAACTCCTTTGTCCATTTCCCTGTCTTGGCTCCTTAATCCAGTTGGAATGTTGTCCAAGTGAAGTATACTGAAGTCCCCTTTCAACCGTCACTCAGGAATCCGATGTACTGTTTCAATCACATTGGCCCAACAGAGTGAAATCTTTGTGCATTTTCCCAAAGTGGCCCACTGATGTCCTCTTCCTCCAACATTTACAACATTGAGTATTTTTACTCGGAGGTTCCTTCACTCTCGGGCAGGGGCGTCCAACCTTTTTTGACCGAAGACCTACTTTTCAAGCAACCAACCCTGACGCGATGGACATGTTACCGCACATGCACTAGCATAGCACATTTTATTCTTAATGTATTCTTTTTTTTAACAATACAGTATCACCACTATCACTTGATAAAACGTGTTCATAATGTTCATCTTTTCCCTTCCGCAGATCTCTGGTCAAAAGTAAGAAGCTTAATCTCCTTGCACGAGGCTACAACTGAAGACGGTTTTCCTTGCATAGCCACCGCGGCAGCAGAGAAGACATGAGTGAGGATAAACCTGCAGAGAGTATGGAGACGGCCCCCGCTGAGATGAATTCTATCCCCAACGGGAAAGGTCACGATGCGGTCGATGAGCTGACTGCATCGTCCAAAACCTCACCTGTGGATGATGGGCCAACGTGAGTCTCGAAACACTGCATACTGGCATTAGCAATGCTAGCTGGAATCAACATTGTGTTACACACGTCAATCTGATTAAGCTTCAAATAATATTTGTCTGGTTTTTCAATATAAAACATGTTTACAAGTCATTCGTCACTGTCAAGCTAATGTGGCCTCGCTGGTTAGTTGGCTAATGATGTCATCATGCTTATGGCTAACTCAGTTTAGTGCACAGTCCTTCTAACAGTGAATGTGATGGAACCACTCGGTGTATAAGCCGACTTCCTCCTTACACGCCGATTGAAAAACAGTGCGGCGTAATTGCTTGAGCTAAAAGCCTACGGTAATTAGCTTCTCCCTGTTGTCTGGCAGTCATTTTGCAGCATGTAATAGCTGTCCCTCCTTCAGCCATAGATGATCCTGTCATCATGTCATTGTTGTTATTGTATTATGACTCAGTATCATTTTCTAATCGTGCACTCGTTGGGTGATGGATGGCCTCTCGACGATGCTTTTAGGGAAACGGTACCCAACAGTGCCCTGAATGTTAGGTATGTCTCTGCGAAAGATTTCATTTGTGTTTTCTGTCAAATGTTAGCAGAGGCGGTATCACCATAAGTTGCCTTGGAGGCGTCCACATTTCACCCTCCAAGAGTTGAAAAGATTTTCAATGGATCAATTGATGATTCACGATGACAATGGTGAACTTGACATTTAAGTACACGCATAATATGATGAAGATTATGATACGTCAGTGTAATTATTTATTCTGAAACGATCCACTTCTTAAACCTCCATTGAACAATGACAAAATGCTGGTAGGCAAGGCACTGAAAACAGAGAATTGCTTGAAGGGTATTAAAGCAGTCACCGCAACATGACAGCAATTTCAGCGTCACATGCAAAATTTTCAATATGATTTTGAAAATAGGATATCAAAACGTGTCGGCAGTAAAACTATATGAAAAAAGTGATTTTGTATCACTTTAATTTCTAGAACAATGGGTAGTGCATGGAGGGCAAAATCATCTCTATCTAAAAAAAAAAATTGAATAAAACAAAAGAAACACATTTTATGAGATTGTTCATTGTAATGGTATGTACTATTACATGTTCATGATTAGTGATTGTAATGAGGATGCCAATGGCACTTGATAGTGATATTGACCCAGCAACAGTTTTTAACTTTAACTTTTAATCTCTCTTGACTAGTATTTGTGCTGTTCAGTTATTGTTGTTGTTATTGTTGATTTTTTTTCCCCACTGAAGTCCTAACAGAACTGAAAATACAACAGCTAACCAGCCAGAAGGACAAGAGCTCTCATCAGGTGCAGACAACAGCAAAACTACACGATTTACTGATGTAAGGTCATGTGACTCTCAAGTGCAATACACAGTAGATGCTATGAAGAAGTAACATATTCATTTCTATTTTGGTTGTAGTTTGAGGGAAAAACATCATTTGGGATGTCCGTCTTCAACTTGGGCAACGCAATCATGGGAAGTGGAATCCTTGGACTGGCATACGCAATGGCCAACACAGGAGTTGTTCTCTTTTTGTAAGTTGTTTCCATATGAAAACGCAATGTAACTTCTAAGTTTCATGACCAAATGGACTAAATGTTTCATTTTCTTGATGCTTTGTGACATGTTTGACCATAAATAATTCCTAATTTTATTTTAATAGATTCCTATTAAACATGCGAATTATGTAGGGTGAAATAATTAAATTAACAGAGACTCATGAAACTAAATGCAGTGCCAGTTCAAAGGCCAATAAAAGGCTACTTTCAGTCATTCAAAGAATATTTCATAATTTAATGGCTTTTTTCTTGCCCGAACAGACACATTTCTTATTCCATCAAGTTGATTCTCGACTTTCAACAGTGCGTATATGTGGCTCATATGTGATAGGGCTTAGCACCGCTAAGCCTCTGCAGCATCACTGTCTGTCAGAGTAATATTGTCAGCAGCTCCCATGTACTAAAAAGCAGTTGGTATTACCTCCTTCGGTTTGAAAAATAAAATAACTGCAGTAGAGACATTGCCCTTTGTTGTGTGCCTTTTCTGTTCCCATTAGGATTCTGAAATGAAAGTAAAAACCACATCTTAGGGTCATGATTTTCGGAAGGATGTGACTCATCGAAGATGACACTCGTAAACAAAGGCACAGCGGCTCCCAAGTTTTTTTTTTTTCAGCTACAGTTGAAGCATCTCAAAATAAGCTCATTAGATAAATCTTACAACTTTGTGTTTGTGATTTTTGCACCTCTACTGGTCGGAAAAACAGTGCTTTTGACACACATCTATCTAGCTAGCTAGCTAGCTAGCTACCACATAGGTACCTATCCAGCTTCCGATGCAGCAACCTAGCTATCTAAAAAAATAGGGTGGCATAGTTTTTAAAGCAATATGATTAAAATAGAAAGCACATTTAAATTTTTATCTCATCAAATATATATCCTCCATTGAATTATTACGTGATACAATTCGAGGTGTTTTGTGTGTCTGGAAAATTTCCCCTGGTGTTATAAAAAGCTTCTTGTTTTTAGCTGAGTTGTGTGGGGTCAAGTTTTTGTGTCTTTGACTCTTGGCCTGTGGTTCACATAGTTGACTTTTACGCTGCTGGCATGGACTCGATTCCTGGGCAATGCCCGGGTCGCATGCGCCCTACCATTGACCGGAGACCATTCCAGGGTGTACAGTATTATGCCTTCCACCTTTAGTGAACTGGGAAAGGCTCCAGCCTCTGTACAACAGGATTAAAAAGTGGAGAGAACGATGAACGGAAGAATATTTTATCAATGTGTATACTGTATAATTACTGTAGCTAACTACTTATTTCAGATAACTTCAAAAATGCAGTTTTGACTGGTAACGGTTCTAGATTATGCACCTCAACTCATGTTCTTCATTTTTATGTGTGTTGTAAAAAATATTCAGTCATTTGCTCAATTTATAACATGGACGTTTATGTACCCCTTATCTTCTAATGATACAAACAAACAAAATAGTGGCTGCTTTGTCCGAGGCTCAGGCTAAGCTTGGAATGCAGTAGTGGAAAGCTGTGAGCAGAGCAACAGTGACCCAAGTGTGTCACTTTGTGTGATTCTCAGCAGAACTGTCCTCCCACTGCCACTCGACTGACTAAATCCTCCACCTCAAAGCTGCCCGGCATTCTTCTGCAACGACCCACGCTGGAATAACAAACTGTTAATTGTCTGAATATCATTGAGAGTTGACTCACAGTTTGTTTAAGAAAATGATTTGAGCGTTCCTCTGAAAACGCAGCCATTTTCTACCACTAATCCTGTTCCTTGGGAAATGGAGCATATCCCCGCTAAATCTAGGAGAAAGGCATGCTACTTCAGTCATTCAGTCACATGGTACCTAAAGACAGATCATAAAGCAGAAATCGTGTCCCCGAGTGACTGTTGGTTTGCTCGTGAGTCTGAATGTGTTCGGTGATGGATTGCAGGTTCAATGCTTGATGGAGTCTGCCTTTCACATGGTCAGTGGGGGTAGGCTACAACTTCCCTGTGACCCTGTCAAACATGTGAATCACTAAAATATCAGTGAATGAATCTCATTCATTAAATTTCTTTGCTACCCCGTTTAGGGCCACAGCATGGGCTGTAGAATGTGACTAGCGAAATCAACTTGTCACATAATGACAGCTAAATTACTTTATTAAAGATTGTAAGCATGAATTGACCTTATTTCAGATTTTGGCCTGTTCTTGACACCAATCAAGATTTGTGATTCAAGTATTTTTAAAATTGTGTCAGACAAAATTTCCCATACCGGGAGTTGAACCCGGGCCTCCTGGGTGAAAACCAGGGATCCTAACCGCTAGACCATATGGGACACATAGGAACCTAGCTGCATCCGTACGCTCAGGAATAAAAAGAAGGACTGAGTACCATGGCAGCATCGAATGAAAGACAACACATCTCTTGCTTGCCCTTAATGCAATTTCCACATTAAAACTCATTCAGTATCAGTATTTAAAAACGTCTTTGGGAGTGAATGAGTTAATGGAATCAGTCAAAAATCACATGTCTCGTGATGGCAAGATTATATGGTATTTTATAGTACACCGTGGAAGTAAACCTTGAGTATTCACATATATTTCGCTGTCTTATGGGCCGGCCAATTTCCAAGGTGAGCCCTTGGTCTGTCGGAATGCTCAGTATGGCACAGCGCGGTTTGCCAAACTCGAACATGCGAAATGTGTGTTTCTATGTAAAGAGCTGCAAATTGTTTTACATTCAATCAGGTGAGTCTCACTGTCCCACATTTTGAAACCTGTTCAATATAAATACTATTCGTTTAAATCCAAGTAAATAAAAGATGATTGCGGGTAGAGACGGAACAGAGCGAAGGAGGGAGATTAATGTTAACTTTGGATTTCTCCTCAATCTGTCAATTCCATCATTGCACCGATTCCTTTGAAAGAGTCCATCTGCTGTGTGGTTGCTTAGTGTGGTCGAGGGCAGAGGGCAGCCAACTTGATCAGCTGCAGCAACAATCCAGGATAAAGGCGAGCCACGGGGACTCGCCAGCGTGTTTCTATACCACAGCTGTATAAATAGCCTACAGTATAAGTACAAGTGGAGGGTAGGCTATAAAAGATGGATGTAGGCCTTTCAGTTTCTAATTTGTCACAGTTGGTTTGGTTAAAGAGTTAAATGCTGTTTTTGCTGGCAGTCATTGTATTTAATTTCAGTTGATCTGTCTTTTTCAGGGTTCTCCTAACAGTGGTGGCCGTCCTTTCATCATATTCCATTCATTTACTGCTCAAGTCTTCTGGTATTGTAGGTATGTACACGATTGGACTTGATAAAGTTGTGAAGGATCGCCTCAACCTCAAGTGCACTTTCGATCGCCTTGGTGACAAAACAATAAGAAAACAAACTGTTAGTATTTATTAATGATACGACAACGTGCTGAATAAGCACATTCGTAAATAAGCTGCCGAGGGCTACACCTCTCAGCATATCACTCAACAGTCAGACAACTCTACACTCATATCTGCTGACACCCACGTCACTCACCAGGCCAGTCCTCGCCTTTTAAAGCCATACACACTTAAGTCACAGATAATACAGTGGTGGAACATGAAGATAGTGACCCCAAGTGGAAAAACAATATGACCTGAACCTCACATGTGCATGTCGTTCTTTAACAATGCAAATCAATGAATTAATCGAGGGCATAATCAATAGAGAACTTGATTCCCCAAAAATATTACTAAAGAAAGACTTTTCTCCATACTTGAAGGTATCCGTGCTTATGAGCAGCTCGGCTACAGGGCTTTTGGCACTCCGGGAAAGATGGCGGCAGGTATTGCCATCACGCTGCAAAACATCGGAGGTGAGCACGCGCTCGCGTTTTAAATTTGCCTTCTCACATTCATATATTGTATGCTCATCAGAAAGCGACTTTTCTGGCACAATGTTCTGCGATGTCTTCTGCTAGTGTGTACGTTATCCTCTCCGTCTGAAATGTAACTGTGGTTTTCTCCCTTCCACAGCCATGTCTAGTTATCTGTACATAGTCAAGTATGAGTTTCCTTTGGTCATTCAAGCCTTCCTTAAGGTGGATAAGCCAGCAGGGTGAGTCATCGGCCTGTGGACATAAAATCGTTAATTCCCATTTTGTAGTTGCGGGGATAAACAGCACCTACAGCAATGTGCATAAATCAAGTGGGAGGCAATAGATGCCTCATTTGTTATCATTTAAAAACCTGCCCTTTGAGAAACTGTTGGTATCGGAGCCACCGGGCACTTCACTCGGTACATTCATCCATTCATTTTCAATACCCCTTATCCTGTTCAGGGTTGCAAGGTGCATGTTTTTTTTTTTTTTTGTTCTTGATCATTAAATTTAGTCTCTTTAACGGGCACTTATGCAAATTTTTTTAGGCCAATTTTTGTGGTAAATGTTATTGCGGTAATAAAACAAAAGCAGGTTAATTCTTTATTTTTATTTCATATCTTTGAATTGATCATATGTATTTATTTTTAATGAAGCACATCATTTATTTTCATGTTTAATTTTTGACGTAAACTGACAGAAATGACTGAGAATTAAATGCTAAAATTAAGGAGAGGAAATAACTGATTTTCCTTTTGTAATCAGTTGTGTTACGTTCTTCTATTGGAGAATCATCAACACATATGTGTCAGGGGGGAATCATTCTATGACGGAAGGTTCCGGGGTACACAAGACAAAAATTGTTGGAAGCCACTGGCATAAAGGAAGTATGTTGTCATACACCTCAACAGAGACAACTTCGGTTTAGCCTGGATCGTTAGTGGAAATATAGTGTCTTTGGTGCATATGTCTAAATGTTTGAAATCAAATAGAACCCATTTTATTCTTAAGAGTAATGTTGTAAGATGAGTTTGAAAGTTTGAAGTGTGAAGGATCATTGCTTGGTATATTGGTATATTAACGATTGAAACAATGAATACAGGCAAAATAAACAAAATCCTACAGTCATTGTGGCAACATTTTGGCTATCAACAGCAAAATGTTTGTTTGAATCCACAATGACAGAAAATACCTAATGGCACCAATGCAGTGACTTCGTGTGTCATCTCATGTGTGGGGTTACGATCCGGAGCCATCTCACTGTCATGCCAGTCGAACATGCGGCGCAGCTGGCGTGCGAACAGCTGTGATAGTAACCCCGGAGGAGGAGAGCAGCATGGCCAAAGCGGGAAAGTCACAAACACGTCGACATTCCACGAGTGCAAATGTAAACCGTCGGATATCTCTGGCCAAGCGCAGGTGGCCGCGGGGACAAACAACACTCGCTTCCTTGGGAGTTGGTGTGAGATGTTAGCCCCTCACCCCTTCACTCTTACCCCACTTAAAGGAGATGTGAAGTGTTTCTCAGTCGGCATTGCAGTGGTTTAATTGACCCTTCAGAATTCAGTGCAGTTGATTGTCTGTACTGTAAGGTTGTGTGTGTCTCTGGTGATCAGGGAAAGATTGCGTCCCTGAACCAGATGGCCAGAGGGCAGGATGACACCAGGATAGATGAGTCTCTTCATTTTTTTTTTCACGTTTCGTGTGTGCGTGCAAGGGCTAGACAGCTCTAAAAGGGAGTGTGTATCCATGCAATTTTCCCACTTGACAGAAGAGAAGAAGTGAATCACCCTGACTAAAAATAGACCCTTGTTTTGGCAGGAGCGTGGCGCATTGTCATGCTCATGCTTTGCAAAACTTCTCCCCCCCTCAGTCAAAATCTTGTGTCTTAGAGGGACACCGAGCAATGTCATTCATTGGCCATAATATTAGATGAAGATAATTCACAGAGAATCCAGATCAACATTGTGACTTTTAAACCTGTGTTAAAGATTCAATTAATCCGTTAATTGTTGTCATTTACCATATTTTCCCCACTATAAAGCGCACCTAAAGCATTCAACTTTCTCAAAAGCCCACAGTGCAATTTATAATCCGATGCGCCTTATATACGGGTCATGATTCTGATTTCTTGGACGTAGCATTTTAAATGTTCTGAAAAGCGCTTTGTTAAAGCTGCCCTGGTTGTGAAAGCGCTATCTAAATAAAGCTGCATTGTATTGTATTCCCTTTAGTGTAGCTCCATCTAGTGGATCTAGTGGACCGCAGCCACTGTTGTAGCTTCTATTCCATGCGCCTTATTATGCAGTGCGCCCTATATATGAAAACAGTTGTGAAATAGACCATTCATTCATACTTATTGTGCGTAAAATACGGTAAATAGCATGAAAAATGTGTTTAAACTTTTTAATGGTTGTGCATGAACAGTACCTTATGTGATATTCTTATTGGTGGCGTGCATATGGTTTTTATGAGGTAAAATATGTGGCTTGGCTCAATAAATGTTGGTAAACAATGTTTTAAAGAACAACATATAAAAAAAATACAACTTCTCGAGGCAGCATTACTCTGCTCAAGTTCAAAACATTAAAATTAAGTTTGCGGAAAAAAATTAATCAAAGCATTCTTCACTTGTTAATTTTTACCATGGAGTCGCCGATACAACGGACGCACAAAAACGCCTAATCATTGTGTTGGTATTGACTGCACCTCTATATCTGGCCCTCTCTTACTCGTCAAATATTGTCCCCTATGTGTGTGTTTGTAACCAGACTGACGTTTTTCTACCTCTCTGCAGTGAATGGTACTTGAACGGCAACTACCTTGTGATCATTGTATCCATCGCCGTTATTTTGCCGCTGGCGCTCATGAAGCAGCTTGGTGAGTCTATGAATTGCTAATCCATTGTTAGGTCACCTAAAACTTAGTTGCAAATAATCAGTACCAGTCAATTCTAGACCCCATTTTTTGTTCTTTTTTTACCCTAAGTCTTGGAAAAATTAAAAAAAAAAAAAGTATCTGGGGTTGAACGTGTGGAGTGTGAAAAGACATATATATATGTCTTTGGGAGTGAATGTGATAATAACAAGGTATTATATATATTATAGGAAGGAAGTTTTGGGGCCTCACTGTAGTATGAATGTTTTAATGTATAAATATTTGTGTCTGCAAGAACTACACGTACTGAAAGCAGGGCACTGAATCGTTCGCAACCGTCTTTTTGCATGGACTGACAACACCTTCTCAGATCAGAGGTGAATCATCTTCAAAGACAAGCATTGCCCGGAGAAGGGTCGCAGCACTATGACTTTGTTCATTCATGTACAATAGCAAACGGGCTGACAATCAAGGAGCGCAAAGTGGTGCAGTTTGAGTCAATAATCAGCTTCTACTCCCAGCAAATCAAATCAGTCTGGAATCTAATATTTGATTATCTTCACTGTCAGGCAGTGAGGGAGCATATTATATTTTCAGTGGAAATTCTCAGGTCGAACCAAGTACATTCCATGACACTAGTTGAGGTCTATGTTTCATTCGGAAATAATGTTGATTACATTTACGTATTTGTGTTCATGTTAGTTTTACTAAGGTTCCAAATTGTCTTAGCTGTACGTCTACAAAGTAAATGTGAGTGGGCCATTGGGTGGTGACAAGTTCAGGATATAACCTGCCTCTCGTGTTTTGTCAACTGGGACAGACCCAAGCTGACCCGCGACACTTTCTGAGGGCAGAAAGTGGACAATTTTTGCGTTGCTCAACTTTGGCAGTGAACACTGCATTTTATACATGAAGTAAGGCTAATAAACTGCTTGGTTTCAGGGTATTTGGGATACACCAGTGGCTTCTCCTTGAGCTGCATGGTGTTCTTCCTCATCGCGGTAAGTCTAGTCAGACATTTGGTGTCTTAAGCATCAACATAAACATAATCAGAACGGATGAGTACATGCTGATGCCGTACACTGTGATCAGCTTGTAATAAGATTGGCACTTTCACCTTCCCACCAGCTTTTCGTATTGTCTTTGCGTGCTGCTGTTCCAGGCTATGCTGATTGTCTGACTTTCATTGACCTACTTTTGGTTGTGCGAGCAGTAATCCATGTATTGCTCTCTCTGTCTCTCTCTTCTCTCGCTTTCTCTCTCTTTCTCTCTCTTCCTCCCTTCTGGGCCATACTGTCTACTCAATATGCTAACCGCATCTTTAGAGTTCATGCAAGTCTGTTTTGCACCTCTGCAGGTGATTTACAAGAAGTTCAACGTCCCTTGCCCGTTCGTGGACTTTGCCGTCAATGGCACTGCCGGTGGTCTCCTGAACATCACGGATCCCGGTGGGATGGACGACCTCTCCTGCCTTCCCAAAATGGCCAACCTCAACTCTCAAGTAAGGTTCAGGCATGCCACTCCTCCTGACTGCCGTTTGAGAGCCATCCACTTGTGTCCTCTCCAGCATGCTGCCAGTGACAGATCACAGTCCAAGCATGGTCACGTTTGGCTTGAAGCACTCTATCACGCGCTACGTGAGATTGCAGCATTCAATCATGAAATTAGACAGTCAGGTTCAAACATCGAAGTTGGTCAGTGACCTCTGCATAACCTGTGGCGTAGTAATCATTTATTTTACATTTCAGCTCTGAGACAGTATCTCTCAACATCCAGTAGCATTTTTTTTTTACTGTTGATTGAACTATTTAACTTTTTAGATTTGTTGTTTTTTTAGAGACATGTTACAAATACAATTTACTTACTAATTGTTAGCAATCTGAAGTAGCGAATTTGCCAGGTTAGCAAAAGCACATCCCTCGTGCTTCAAGCTAACATGCAAGGCATTCTAACTCAGGGGGGGTCAATGACAGGGAACCAATTAGCTCTGTCATGTGTTTTGCCAAGTAACGGCCAGTAAGGCGCAAAATTGGTGGTAAGACGTCTGGGATGGCGCTGCTGTATCTATGGTGACCTTTTGGGGTTCGTTTTCAGACTGCCTACACCATTCCCATCCTGGCGTTTGCCTTTGTGTGCCACCCTGAGGTGCTGCCCATCTACACAGAGCTACGCAAGTATGTGCTTATGATGGAAAGAAAGGTCCTGCTACCCTTTTGGACAAATAATCTGCTGCCTAGCAAACAAGGAGGCTACAATGTCAACTTTGTATTTGGCTGATCCCCTCGCACTTTTTTTTTTTTAATGTTTTGGCACTCCTTGAATGACGGAGCATGTTGTTTGTGTTGATGTCCGCTTCAAAACACTTGCTTCCTACAATTACTGAGTTACAGTGGGACCTCCAAAGTTAAAGGCTCCAAGAAGTGCTATGTACGTTTGGATTTCAAGGGAAATTTCCTAATTTCAACTCATCACCCTGTGTTTCTTAATCTAACTTAATTTTAGGGTATTTTTTTGTTTCTTTGTTTTTATGGTGGTTTACTTTGTTTTATTTAATGCTTATCCTGTTCAGGGGAGTGGGGAGCTGAACTCTGTCCCAGCTGACTTTGGGTGAAAGGCAGACAAATGCCATAGTACACATTCAGTAACACAAAATAATTCATACTGAGGGAATATTTGTTTTGAAATTGTAAGTCAAGCATCGTGATTGAACATCCGTTTATTTAGGAGGTTCCACTGTATGAATCCAAAGGCTGCGGAAACCTTCATGCCGCTAAAGCTAATGCACTAACTACTTTTATTGTGTATTTCGATGATGTGTGTGTTTGTGTTTCTGTGATATCACATGGCTATTTATATTTTCGTATTTCAGCCCCACCAAGAAAAAGATGCAACATGTGGCCAACATGTCCATTACAGTCATGTACGTCATGTATTTCCTGGCTGCTCTCTTTGGCTACTTGACCTTCTATGGTGAGGAAAGTTACCTCCTTCTACTGCAGAATCTTCACTGACATTTGCTGCATTTCACCATTTGTGATGATTCAGTTCTGCTTGCATGTTTTAAATTGAATTGGTGCTCATACATGGGGTCATCGATTTATGAGGCACCACACATATTGACACATTTTGAAGTTACGAACGGCACACACGCTGTAAGAATGCACATGCTTGGTTTTACATTTTTAAATTAGTTATACAGTACTTCCATATTTAAGTTTTTCATGTTTTGTTAATGTTGACAGAGGACTCCTGTTCTTTTATTCTGCCTATCGAGCATTTACATGATCAATAGTTCTGTCATATTTGTTGCATTAATTTATCCATTAAAAATTGTATGAAACATGTTTTATTGAAATTGTAAAAATATTTTATTCATTTGTCTCATTAAATGTTGTATTCATTTACTGTAACTAATAAAATGTTAGTGATATTTATAATCAGTTTAACATATGCATATAACATTTGAAAAAAAAATTAACTATAATACAAATTATACTACAAATATCACTACGACATCTTTTACACGTGTAATATTTTTTTCGGTCTACGATCTATATTTTTCTAACGATCTATCGATTTAAAAATCAAAGCTTTGCCCATATCTGCCGCAAACGATCGTCATTCAGTTATTTTGAAGTGTTAGCTTGCTTTCTCATTCTTGGACCTTTTATCATGCAGGTGAAGTGGAGGCCGAGCTGCTTCACACCTACAGTCGCATTGACCCGTATGACACGCTGATTTTGTGTGTGCGCGTTGCCGTGCTCACTGCTGTCACACTCACTGTGCCCATCGTGCTCTTTCCCGTAAGTATAATTGATGATTAACTCACCTGCATTGTCAGTATACTATGAACGCCAGCTATTAGTGACACTACCCTTAAAAGGGGTTTGTACTTGCATGTATAGTTGCTGCCACTAGATGGCAGCAAAGGGCTTAAACAGAGAGGACGGGCGGACGGCTTGATAAAAACGTAACAAGTTACAACACGTAAAATTTCACGACATGACATCAAAGTAATACATTTATTTCTTTGGTTTTAGCACAAAGACAGCAAACAGGCATGATTTTCAGCGAATAACATAAAATATGCGAATTGGCAAATGTGTGGGTTTCACGAGAGTAGCGCCTTATGCTATGTTGTGTCTCCTGTTATCAGGTACGAAGGGCCATCCAGCAGATGATGTTCCCAAACAAGACCTTCAACTGGCCACGCCACATCGCCATAGCATTCACCTTGCTCACCTTCATAAACCTGTTGGTCATCTTTGCCCCAAACATCTTGGGCATCTTTGGGATCATCGGTATGTACACAAACCCTGAAAAAAACACTATATTCCTAACATTATAACTCATTTAAATTTCCTGATTCGTGCGTGTGTGTGCGCGTGTGTGTTTCCAGGTGCCACGTCTGCCCCTTGTCTTATCTTCATCTTCCCTGCTGTCTTCTACATTCGCATTGTGCCCAAAGAAGAGGAGCCACTGCGCTCAACCCCCAAAATCCTGGTGAGAAATCAATTGCAGTGACACAAATAGTGTTACTATGGAAACCCAAAGGTGATAACATAGAACAAATTAAGTGCAGATAATGTTTTAAAAGCATACATAGAGAGTATTTCAGTTTTTATTTTTCATTAAATTTACCGGTACTTCTACATTGTGGATTTCATTTTTTTGCGGGAGTGGTATTGAACGTAGCCCCCATAATGGAGGGGCTATTAATGTTGAGTAAAACTAAACAAGAAACTCTCAGTTTCCCATATCTGAATGTAATCATTTTCTGTCTCTATTATAGGCGGCTTGCTTTGCTGGGCTCGGCTTCCTGTTCATGATAATGAGTCTCAGCTTTATCATTATTGACTGGACTTCAGGCAGCAGCAAAGCCAGCACAGGCCACTAAACGGCCTTCGAGTTCTGTCCAGGAATTTAACTTTCCTTTTGGTTCATTTAGTTTATGTGTTGTTATTCTTCATGGTTTTACTTTGGATCTTCCATAGAGAATTTTGAAAGAGTGACAGATTTAAGAGGACGCTTTGTCCCCGCACAAAACAAACTTTGTACTGTACATCTTGCCACACAACTACCGGACAAACTGATTTTTTGTTTTTGTTTTGTTTTTTGAGAGCGTGTGCCTTGTTAGGTGAGATGTATATAAGATGGAAACACAACAGTGTAGGAAACTGATTTCTTTCCACATTCATCTGTCACTGTGATGACCGTGAGCCTATGGCACATCATGCTATGCTAATCTGGTTATCAGTGCTGCTAAGATTGCAATACACACATTCCTTTCAGCCAATTCGAACATCAAAAATGTACTGAACTGAAGAAATGCTTCTACAATATAGCCGCAACGTTCAGCTTCCATCCAAGCCGTTGTGTAGCACAGACATAGCACATTTACAACAACATTCCGTTCTCTGCGATCAAACTGAATGTTTTTAATTGTGTTAAAAAATAAGTTTGCGCCTACTCAATTCCAATGTAGCTTCTGGCTGTCCTAAAATGATTTAAAATGAATATTTTACAAGTGGTGCCTTGAGATACGAATTTGTCTTCTTTCACAATTGAAATGATTTCAAATGCTATTAATCTGTTCCACCCCCCACCTCAACGTTTTAATTTTTAATAGGTATTTAATAAGAAATCATATTGTACTTTATAAAAACAAAACGTATTGGAATAATTAAATAGAATGTAAAGAATTTTAAAATTCATGTTCGTGGACATTTTGCTGCTCCTTCTGGTGTGCATGCCTTAGACACCCATGAGGGGTAACATATCCTGTACATTCTGGCTGTGTCCCTCTGTAGTGCACTATAAAAGGGACACGCCATTTTGTAGGGGTGTCCGCATGTCCAGAGAGAGAAAAAAATGCAGTACACTCAAAGTTAGCCATAATTGACTTGGAAAAGTAGTGAGCAACCGTGGTCTCTCAACAGGTTGATATAGTCCATAATGCATTGAGAGCGGGAAGACAAAATGGCGCAAGTGGGCGACAGCGCATGCGTGCGTCATGATGAATACGGTGGTCGCATGGTATATAAAAAAAGGAGCAAGTAGTTCGCTGGCTGTTCGAATCGCCAAAACAGATTAAGGGAACTATTGGCTACACTTGGCTACTATTAAGTGCAAGTGAATGAGTGGTTGGAGGATAAGGGTGGACATTTGGACACAGCCATTATCTCAAGGCACCGCTGTTGTGTTTTTTGTTTTTAATGATTGCCTATACTGAAGACCTCAAGAAAGTTACCTCTCAGTGTTCCTCTTCCTTGATGATTAAAAAAAGTATATGCGTTGTTTCTGAGTTAACCTCGACAACAGGGTCCATTTAAGCAGCGACTCGCAACAGTTTTGTGTCTTCACTAAAGTGGAAGTCAAGAAAAAAAAATATTTGCAATAATATGTTCTACGTGCCCCCGCTAGTCTAAACACGTTATTATGATTAACATTGCGTTGGTGGAATACATTGAAGATGATTTCACCCCTTTTCAACCATTTCAGGGCATTACATTGACATTACACTGCCCTCTACTGTCGGCTAGTATTGATGTCAAAATGCTGTTGGACACCACGTTGCCAATGTCACGTGACCAAACCCAGAAACCACGTGAGACGTGACTTCCACTTTAATGAATGCATCCAGCAACGGAAATGACAGACATGCAATACTGTTTGCAATATTGCTGTTTAGCATTAGCACTTTCTTTGACTAAAAGCACAACATCTCCTAGCCGTTCTTACTGACTTTGCGTGCAATGTGTTTGGTGTGTATGGGCGTGGCCCTTTTGTATAACACAATATATGCTGTATTAATCGACCCAACGTAAATTCCACAAAAAGTAGCAACGTGTCAGTGGGCGTTATAACATATATTACTTGAAATTAACATGAACTTTTCTAATGTTCCTCTTCCTCTATGTAGTAGAGAAAACGGCAAGCAATTTAATCGGATGTATCATCACAAGTTCGTCATATTTATGAAAGAAAACACATCACAGCTGTGGTGACTATATGCAGTGGTGTTGTGAAATTTCAAACGTATACTCACAGGTCAGAGGTTCAACTCCAAGTGTTCTAGTACAAACGTGTTTATGATGTCGCTCAAAATCAGTGATCTTGTCAACCTTTCTGTATTTTAACATTTGTTCACATCGTCAAAGCGGTCAGTGCTGTGTGAGTGTGTTGTCGTTCTTTGGTTTTGTTACACAGCAAATATTTTCTGTTCCCCTTTTGTTATGTACCGTGTCTCTGCTTATGAAGTTTTTCTATTCATATGCGGCGGGATTCATTTTGAGTCATCCGCTGTATCCTTCTTCATTTAAATTGGTCTCAAAGATAGTTTAATTTATCCATGCACAACAGAAAAATGCCACAAAAATGATAAATACTAATAAATGTGTTGGCGGCTGCTGCATGCAAGAAGACCTCTTTGAACCTTTTGTCAGCCCTCAGTGACCATCTTTGTGATGTAATAATTGAGTATTAAAACATTGGCCAGCATTTATATATAAATGTAAATACACGTAGACCCTTTATATTCGATATGCATATCTAATTTGTATAATGTAAATAGCAGTTACAGTTTTAGTCAAATACAAAAATATAATTTTCAAAGTGCTTTTAAACCTCTTGTCCCTCAATTGGTGTCTATTTTCTTGTATGTCTATTTTAATATGTCGCTGGCAGTATTGTACTGTAAACAATGTTGCAATAAAGATAATGAACGTCCTGATTTGCGTTGATGATGACTATGCTACTTATTTGTGTCACATGTTATTTTAGGGTGGGGGGGGGGTTAGACATCGTACGTATGGCATTAATAAAGCCCAGATTATTGACGCTCAGAATTATTCATCCATTTTATAGTTAGAAATGATTGATTTAAAATGCAAATCTCATCTGTAAACGCACATGTACAAATGCATTCACATATTGTATGCATTTGTTGTACAGTACTGTACCGCAAATTTAAACATTAGCACAGCGTTCACTAGGTGACGCTGTAGCCCATCTTGAGAAGCCCTAAAGATGTTGGCGTCTCTTTTTTTTTTTGTTGTACTGTCATGTTTAACCTTCAGGAATTTGTATTGGTAGATTAAAAAAAATACTAAAAATAACATTAGGAAAGGATTGCTAATTAAAGTTATAGCTTTTCTTGCACTATATGTGTGTACCTTATTGCATTGTGTACATGTTCTTTCTCTGAAAATGAAACAAGAATTATAGAAGAGAACAAGTGTGCGCTGTCCGAAATGATTGCTCCCAATTTACCCTGGCATAGGTTTGAGTACTTTCGCTAGTCTTGTAATAATAAACGGGATCGGGAATTAATGGATGAATAAATAATACCGGACATTTGAACGAAAAAAAAAAAAAACAAGAAACAACGACAATAACACATGTATGCTTTAATCCAAATTATGCTATTTAAAATGAGAATTTTTACTGTATTTTACTGTTGAATGTGTGAGATACACCCTAAAAATGTTAACCTCATCATCTGTTTGTTTTAAAAATCAAATGTAACTGTTGAACCCAAACACATGGTACAAAGCCACCAAATAAACTGTTAAGTACACATAATAATACTGTACTGTATGCGCTTTAATATTTGTGGTACTGTAGTTAAAAGTCAGTTTGACTACATTTCCCATAAAGCACTGCAGGGGCGGGCATTCTGTTTCTTTTATTTTTTTGGGGGGGGGGCGGGGGACCTGTCGCTTCTTCACAGAGTTGGAAGTAGTGAGGGGATTTTTTTAGCAAACCGACTCTTTTGGCCCAACTCACTAAAAAGAGCCATCTCTTTCGGCTCCCAAAGAGATTTTCAAAAATTTTTTTTGTTTACATTTTTTTACAACAATGTAAAATAATGCAGTGTTTTATTATAATAATTTTCCTTTATTTCTTTGGTCATTGCATCCACAGTAAAAACAGATGTGTTATTTCGAGTAAACACAAAAGATAGTCAGGGCTGTCGAGGTCTGGATTTAAGCATCTTTTTTTAAATTGTAGCTTTGGGAATTTTTAAAACTGCATTCTACCACTTTGCGATTTGAACCTTTTGTAGAAACAAAGTTTAAATGTGTTTTTATTTGATCTTTTATTTTTTTAATTTTCTCAACTATTCCTTCCCTGTGTATTCGCGTGTCCCCTCTCTCTTGTGTCTCTCCCTTTGGGGATTGATCTCCGTCATAATTCTTCCGCTCATATCCCTACTTTTTGTTGTCGTTAACTGTCGCCCCTCCCCCTTTGCTCGGCTCCCAATCAGGGGCCGGCTCCCTTCGCTCATTTCAAAGAGCCGGCGCTAGCTGCCGTTTCGTTAGCGAACTACACATTACTTGTCGGACGGTGACTACAGTCTGACGCCGCTTGTGCCTGTCGTGGGGGAACTGAACCGCGGCCCCGGGTGTGGCTTCAAACGTGACAAATCTCCGCCGCTTAGAAAGAATGCGTGATGTTGCAAAGGCAGTAGGGGAAAGATTCATCTAAAAACAACCACCGTCCGGTGTGAACGTTCTTGTCGACTCTCTTTGATTGATCGCTTTTGAGTACAGCTGGAATACTTTTTTTTTCTTTCTACGGAACTTCCGGAGTCATTTCTCGTGAGTTTATCATGCGTTGAAGGAAGTGTCGAATTTGTTCAAACCAAACAAAGAGGCCTGCCTGTTGGAAAACAAAGTTTTTTTGGGCTGCCTATTTCCCCCCCAAAAAAGAGGCGCTCATGCTGCTTTTGTGACCGGGCAAGTCGCTCGATTTGACGGCCAAAGGGATTTGGTGAACCGTCCCGAACAAAAAAAAAAGGAGAAGTCGTTTTACTCAACTTTAGATTTTTTCCCCCTTCTAAACAAAGGCTTAGAGCCTCGTTTTTTCCCCCAGGTGATTTTTACCACAAAAGCAGCAGCCCTGAAGCGAGCACTCGGAACCATGGGTTGCACCGTGAGCCAGGAGGATAAAGCCGCGGCCGAAAAGTCCAAAATGATCGACAAGAGCCTGCGAGAAGATGGAGAGAAGGCGGCCAGAGAAGTGAAACTGCTGCTGCTGGGTGAGTAGTCCCCCCCTGCCTCCCACCTCCTCTTCATTCAAAGCACATCAATTGTGCAACAGAAAGTTGAATTGTGCATGCCAATGAGTGCCATTGGCTGGATTTAATGCTTTCATTCATACCCTTAAACGTCTCACCAATGGACAGCAGAGCTTTTTGTGGTCTTAACAATAAGATGACCCCTGACACTTGCCCTTTATGGCCTGCAATTGACACTTCATGCACCCTGTGTGGCCTTGCATCATCTCACGGGCTAACTCACAAAGGCGAAAATTAGTCAAAGTTTGGAGTCCCAAACAAGACCGTATGTCTTTCTCCAGACATGTTGGATAGAAACTAGTTTCTTTATCTTCTTTTCGAACAGATTGGTAAAAAAAAAAAAAGTTTGCTGCAAGGTCTGCCTGATAATGAGTGAGCTGCCGTTTGGTCAGAGGCTGAGCAGCCCCGACTTTTCCCAGAAATGCCCAGACTGGAGCATGCTCACATCTAGTCAAAACAAGTCAGTGAGAGAGTGAAGTCCTTCCAACCCTTGTGGAATTCTCTTTTTGGGTCCAAGTAGGGGATTGTGACCGCCTCATTTCCATGCAGTCACATTCTGTCCAATCATCCTAATGTGTCTTCATAGTTCTCTCACAGATGAAATATGAGAAATGGAAATCATGCCCTGCACTGAGTGCTTAAAGTTAACATCCTGTGTTATTAAATCTCATGCTCGCTGATTCAAATGTTAAATGAGCTGTTTGAGCACAATAAACACTTTGTGACCTTTTCAAAGGTGTCAAACAGTCATCAGTGTGGATATACCCAACTTAATCCACCTCTTCATGACACCAATAGCACATAATTAGAGAAGCCATCAATATTGTACAAAAACGTACATCATTCAATAGCTTGAATAGATTCAATTGCTATCTGATAATATGATCAAAACTTAAAACATTTAAATGAAGCACATGTTACTGACCATGTTGGAAATCTGTTACTGTTTGCAGATCACTACGGACTTGTTTGACTAGTTGAACTTGGCCGTAACAGGTTTTGCTATGACCCACCAATCAGAGGACAGAAAAATGCTGACATCCCTGGGGGGGTCTAGAGTTTTAAGTAAAATCAGACAGCACTACTGATTCTGATGGTCCTGCACGGATTAAATTTACATGGCACACATCCGAAATCTGATTGCACAAATAAATTTCAACGTACATGTACTGGAAGCGAGACACAATGAAATAAAAAAGATAGTCTTTTGGTAATAAATACACTTTCATGGAACAAATGCTAGATTTATTTGAATTGCAAATGTTGGTCAGTGCATTTTATAGTGGGGTCTGCCTACTCATTCACTGCGCGTTGTGTCAATTGTGTGAAGACATGATCAATAAAGAGTCAATTCCTCACAGGTTTGCATCATTCTTACAGCTGAATTCCTTGATTTTAATGTGTGCATTTGTCAGTGGGGACCCCCAATATGATCCTTCACTTGTGGCCCTCTTCACTAGAAAGCAAAAGCCTCACTTATTTGGCATTTTTGCTCTTTCTTGAAGTAGCAGCAGCATCAACACCCCGTGTGAAGAACAGAGAGAGCACTTAGAACAGAAGTAGAGGAACGATATGTGGCGGACATTTTGTGAAATTAGCAGATTCCCCTTCAAAGCACTGCCAAAATGTTCCAATGGAGTATCCAGTGTTGGAGAGTATTTCATTCCCTGCCAATCTGAGGTGATGCGCCGTTAAGTCAGGAATTGACTGTCAATAGCCACACGGATGAGTGAGCGCATTCAAGATTTTCAGGTTGAATCGACTGTAAAGTCGAGGCAGTGTCATCGACTGCTAATGTTAGCTTCTTGCCACTTAGTAACATTGACTACGCTGTCACAAATGTTTTTCAATTCAACATGTGGGGTACATTCTTAACACTTGTGACAGTATTGAAATGTGACAAATTAAAAAATTGCCTGTCTAGTTGATAAAGGTTATAATTTCAGCAACAAACTTTCAACACTTGCCGCTGGGAAACAAATAGCATTGAAGTCAGCTTGCCCTATGTCCTTATAAGGGTTGTGTTTGACCATTCGTGTTCCACTGTAAGGCATAAAATGGTGGTTTTGTCTTTTGATATTCATCTGCCATGCTGGTGCTGCCGCCTTAAATTCTGAATTGAGCACACCATTCAGCGGGGCGTTTCGTCCTCTCAGTTGCAGTTTTAGTAGCTTCATGATCACAGCTTCCTGAAGTTGATTTGTCATCTCGGTGCCCAGATGGAACATAACAAAGAGAGGGTGTAATAGAAAAGGACGCGTTTTTCCTCTCCTGGGTTATTTTAAGACATGGCTAGTTAAGTTTTGTCCCCTAGTTAGAAGGCTAATGATACACTTCGCTCCGTATTGCCGCATTCATATCAGTACCGTAATTACTATCCAGCCAAGTGTGTGAGGGATTACACTGGAGCGCTTAATCCAAAACTCTGTTCACGAATTTCAATTTAAAAACAATCGGTTTCCAGAAGAAAAAAAAAGGTCAATGAGTTGTGCAGCTTTGTGAATCTTATGTCACTGTTGTTTCCGCTGTATTTTTGTACCGCATGGATGGTTGTGCTGCCTTTTAAGTAAAGCCAACATTGCATGTTGGCAGTCACATAGCGTAGCACTGATTGTGATAGCTTTGTGACACCCTTAAAGGGTGCTACATCACACCTCAAACTATTCGTTGACAGCGTTTAGCATCTGTTTCAGGAGCTGCAGAAAAAGAAAAAAAAAAAAAAAACCTCACTCTCACTTCTTCCTTTCTTTGGCTACATCGCCTGACTGGAACTGGGCCTATGAGCCAGACGCTGATGTTGGACTTTCAAGAAATGTTCATTTGGATCATTTTGTTGATCAATCTCTGTAATGAATAATTTCATTATGAATTAATTTAGTTTACAATCTGGGCAATGTTGGCTCTTTTGGCGTGGTTAGGACAACCTAACTTGATAAGAAACCCTGCAACTTCTGTCTTAAATGGTTGCAAATAGCGAAAAGCTGCCAATAATTGACACCCTCCCCCCAAATGTTTAGAATAGCCTATACGATTAGCTTTAAAGTGTAAATATCCCGATAGTTATCATCCCAAAAATACAATTTCAAACTCATGCCAAGTATCACCGAAGCAACCGGTAAAAATACCAATCACTTGCCAATCAGGAGACCTGTATTGCTTATTAGCTTGTGCTTTTTAAGCCACTCGGCAGAGCAGCAACAAGTTAATACGGTGAAGATGTTGTAATTCCCCAAAACAACGCCAGCTAAACTTAGCTCCTCTCTGACGTTCTTGGAGCAGTTGATGCATATCACGTCAGAATACTTCCTTGACACCAATTCTTTCCGATAGGCGAGGGCTGTGATGGCGTATTAGTGCATTCCAGAAAGGCATAAGATGTGAGTGTCGAACCACCAATAGGCGGGGTTCACCAATGTGGCCTTATTGTTTGATAGTTCAGGTATATTGCACCAGACCACACCTTGTGTATTTATTTCTTTATCGATTGCCTTGGACTTTGCTAATAAGGTCTTCATGGTTCTTCTAAAGCACATTTTTTTTATGCTCCGTTTGATGTATTTTTGAGCTGAGAAATTGAGTTTATGGAATAGCATGTCACGCTAAATGGCAGCTTAGCTGTGTGTCATCAAATTATCTTACGTTCATCTCAATAGGCCGCTGGTCTGGGTTGATGTTTTAAAATGCTATGTGTACTTTCAAGGCTGCTGTTTTGAATGTTTTCATGCGTTTCCAATCTTTAGACCAGTCTTACAACGGTTTCACATACAACCCGGGTTCAGACACAGTGTGCTATAATAGGATGGACAATGTCACATTAGAGCAAAAAACAGCATGATCTCCATTTTCAAAAATGTAGAATTTTAGACAGACAAGACCGTTAATGTTGCTGTGCAGGTGTTGAAATGTTTGCAAGTTTGCTGTGTAAAAAAATGTCACGGAGACAGCCTCTTATGGCCGAAACAAATCTTCAAATGTTGCCTTTAAGAGCGGGGCATAGAACACAACTGAGGACTGTGATGTTTGACTGCCTTCACATGTGAAGCTCAGGGTTATAAAACTCTTAGCTTGATGTTTTTTTTTTTTTTCGATCACTCACCATGAAAAACATACTCCCGTGGCACTAACATTAGTTGGCATACATCTTGTGAATTCCACTTGAGTTAATGGTATTTCCATAACCACAATGAAATTAAACTTGCCTCTGTATTCGTTTTGGCACCAAAGAGTAGGTATAAAAAAAAAAAAAAACTGCAATGTGGACGTTTTTCTAAAATGCCAAGGCTTTCAAAGTAAATGACGAGCTGAACCGAAAAGGCCTTGTGACAGTTGTTTTTCCTTTATGAAATCATTTGTAAATGTCACAGTAAAGCCAAGTACTTTGTATTAATGTGGACGCAATGTACTTTTAAAAGTACCTTTAAAGCACGTTATCATGTCATGGTAAAGCCGCTGCGTATTGTTTCTTGAAATTTGGATTCGACCCCGACGCATCAGCTGATTTGTTCCTCAGTGGAGTTGACTCTGCCTTACTGTGTGCAAACAAAGAAATGTAATCAGTGTTTTCGTTGTATGTGCTCTCCCGTAATTGCTCCAGGCTTTGAACGTTGTTTCCAGGGAAAATCAGTAGTTAATGTGACACGGACAGTGAATGCATTAAAGCCCACGTTAACAGGTCGTGCTTCCCAGCCGCCCTCCTTTCCCCACTTGGTCCTTGATTGACATTTTATTCTCCTCCCCACTCAGCAACAGACTTGTGGAGATTTTCTCATGACTTTTTTTGGCTCACTGTGCATTTCTAGTTTTGCATAAATACAAAGTTCCTTGGCACAATGTTACAATGTGAAAAACCTAGCATGCAATTGGGGCGTGTTTCTGCATAATGCACTGTACACAATTACGCACACGCAGGCTCTCATTCATTACAGAGGAACACATCGCTGCAGAGATTTGACAAGCACTCT